CAGTGGAAAAGCCACTCCGGCTACTCAAGCGGCAATTCCATGAATGCAAATCAGGTTGGGATAGCCGATAAAAGAATATTGCATCAATTTATTTCACGTCCGTGGACACAAATGAGATACTTCATAGTGAGCTGCATTCGAAGAATTTGCATGCAGTCACGCAAGTGAAAATCATCTCACCAGCGTGGTGAGGTGGAAGCCCAGCACGGACTGAAAATGAAAGGACTCTGCTTGCCAGGGCCATGTGTGTGCATGATGCTGCCCAAGCACTCTGCCATCCAAGTCCTCATCCCTCACTGTCGCTCTGGCAGGGCTGGAGACATGAGGGAGTATTTCCCTGGGTTTTTCCAACACCAGCTGTAGACGTCACCTGAGCCAGGAGGAAACATCGAGCACAGAAGGTATAATAGAGAAAGCAGAGGTTGGAGCCTCTCCAGACCCCTCTGTGACCCAGCCCTGCCTGGTGAGGCCATGGCAAAACTCCCAGACGCAGGACTGAGATTACACATAACATTCCCCTGCGTCTTCACAGAAGCAATTCAAGGCCACTTAAGTGCATCCAAGTAACAAGCCCAAGGGCTGTGGCCCTCAGATGCTACTAGCAAAATCCCGCTGTGATAGTCACACCGAGCACAGGCCTAGCCAATGTCAGCAACACTGAGCAGAGGACAAAAATGATACCTCAGACCCATGCCTTGGGTCCCCCTTTCACAGGTGACTGAGATCCTGCTCAATGGCTGTCTGAGCTTCCCCCCACAGTGAAGCACATTCCACTGAACCCTCACACCATCAAGAACTGGTGCCTCATTAGCAGAAAACACACAGGGTCATTCCCAGTGAGGTCCCACTCACAGGCTGGGAACAGACAGGCAAGAAGCACAGCCTGGCAGCACACCTGCTGCTCTGAGGAAGAGCTCCTCATCTGTGACACTTCGGCCACTAAGGTGAGCCCACAGCTGCTCCCCAGCCCTGAGCTCAGGGAAACACATGAAGGTGCTTTTCTTGCAAACAGCCCCAAACACCCAGTCCTACTGAGAGACAAGGACATAGTGACAGCATTCTGAGGATCATTCCCTGAACCAGAGCGAGCCTTACCTGTTAATGGAGCTGACGCTGGGCACGGTGTCGTTGTCACACACTCGCTCAGCAAGGAGTCTGTCCCTGATCTCCCAGGCAAACATGGTGGGATTTTGGCGTTTGTACTCTGCGATTTTTTCGACAACTTTGGGCGTGGCGACCTTTGGTTTTGATCCTCCAATCACTCCAGGCTTAATACTCCCAGTTTCGTAATACCTGGGACAACATCCAGAACAAAGCTTCTGTTATCACACAGACGGAGAACATGTCCTGAGATTTATAGAGAACATCATTTCAAGGTAACCAAACCCCAGCAAATCCTGAGATACATCTTCACTTTCACATACACATTTTCTGCCTATGTAGTGCTTTATCACCTAATAGATTAATTTATAGTAATTGGAATTGGGTCTCAGGATACAATATATATTTTTCTGTAATAGCAAGACAAAAGAAACAATGCAAGATTAAAGGGCATGCTGAGATTCAAAATTAACTGAAAATGTGTGTTATTAATCAGCAGTAGTGGCAATAATAGAAACAAATCACACCAAACACCACTTTTTGCAGTGGACTCTTGTGTAGTAAATTACTGTTTCTACAGAAAGTCTCTGTCATTAATATCTACAGCTTGTTATCACTTTAGAATGAAACGAAGACTACGTATTGTATTTGCACCTCTGGAATAAACATGCCTGCATACCTTTTCCCTATGTTATTGTTTTATAGGCATATTACGGTTTTAATAGTTGATATTTTTCAAAATGTATTCTTTTCACCATTATGTTTTCAGTAGTTTCAATCACAAATTTCAAGGGCAAGGGAGCTGCCCATGTTCGAGAGGGGTCTAGCTGGTGTCCGTTACGTGCCTTTCATGAGGTGCAGCACCTTCACCCTCACCAGCTGCTCTGCCAATGCCATGCCGCCAGGAGAGGTGGAGAACAGGATCCCTGACTCAACAGAAATCCACCAGATTTTTTCACATATAAATCACAGGACAGCAACTGCTTTGGTAGCTTTGCAGCAGCACATGGCAGCTGAGATCCCTGGGCCCTGTGAGTCTCCCCTTCTGATAAACGAAGACTTGAACATGCTGCTAAGAGCAGAAGTCACATCTTATCTGCTGAGGGCCAGAACAGACGCCAAGAGTGAGATTGTGCTCCTCCATGCAGCGACCAGGGCACTTCACACTGGAGACTCTCTCAGCCCTGCGCTTCATTGCATCTTGTGAATTTTCTCATGACCAGATGAAAAATAAACCCCATGCCCACCTGCAGCCACCACCCCAGCTGCCCCGATCCTGCACATCCCTTTCCTACAAGAGCAGATCCCAACTCCGCCAGCCTCAACCTGTGCATGCAGCAGCTCCAACACGACCGCTTGCTGCCCCATGCCTGCAGTTCTAACACAGAGCTCAGGAAA